GTCAATCATGTACACCAGGTTCTCTTTGCCTGTAGGACATCAGGAAAAGGCCATCAGCTGAGAAAAATGTCTTACCAAAAAGAATAGGAAGTGTAAAAATAAAAAAATGAAACTAAACAAAAAAGAAAAATAAGTCAGAAAGAATTCATTCCTTTCATAATTTCTGACCATCTTAAAATCACCAAAAGAAGCTAAACTATAACTAAACTATAAACTCTAACTAAACATATAAAGAGCATCTGGCTTCCAACTCTTCAACCTTTCCTTTAACCTATCCTAAGATCTCTGCCTCTCCGTACCAGCGATAAAGAGGACCATCCCAGCTTCCTCTAACATCAAGATCTGGTGGATGCTGCTGATGCCTTCTATGCGTGCACGAGACCGCAGTATATATACATACATATATATATACATACATATATATATACATACATATATATATACATACATATATATATACATACATATATATATACATACATATATATATACATACATATATATATACATACATATATATATACATACATATATATATACATACATATATATATACATACATATATATATACATACATATATATATACATACATATATATATACATACATATATATATACATACATATATATATACATACATATATATATACATACATATATATATACATACATATATATATACATACATATATATATACATACATATATATATACATACATATATATATACATACATATATATATACATACATATATATATACATACATATATATATACATACATATATATATACATACATATATATATACATACATATATATATACATACATATATATATACATACATATATATATACATACATATATATATACATACATATATATATACATACATATATATATACATACATATATATATACATACATATATATATACATACATATATATATACATACATATATATATACATACATATATATATACATACATATATATATACATACATATATATATACATACATATATATATACATACATATATATATACATACATATATATATACATACATATATATATACATACATATATATATACATACATATATATATACATACATATATATATACATACATATATATATACATACATATATATATACATACATATATATATACATACATATATATATACATACATATATATATACATACATATATATATACATACATATATATATACATACATATATATATACATACATATATATATACATACATATATATATACATACATATATATATACATACATATATATATACATACATATATATATACATACATATATATATACATACATATATATATACATACATATATATATACATACATATATATATACATACATATATATATACATACATATATATATACATACATATATATATACATACATATATATATACATACATATATATATACATACATATATATATACATACATATATATATACATACATATATATATACATACATATATATATACATACATATATATATACATACATATATATATACATACATATATATATACATACATATATATATACATACATATATATATACATACATATATATATACATACATATATATATACATACATATATATATACATACATATATATATACATACATATATATATACATACATATATATATACATACATATATATATACATACATATATATATACATACATATATATATACATACATATATATATACATACATATATATATACATACATATATATATACATACATATATATATACATACATATATATATACATACATATATATATACATACATATATATATACATACATATATATATACATACATATATATATACATACATATATATATACATACATATATATATACATACATATATATATACATACATATATATATACATACATATATATATACATACATATATATATACATACATATATATATACATACATATATATATACATACATATATATATACATACATATATATATACATACATATATATATACATACATATATATATACATACATATATATATACATACATATATATATACATACATATATATATACATACATATATATATACATACATATATATATACATACATATATATATACATACATATATATATACATACATATATATATACATACATATATATATACATACATATATATATACATACATATATATATACATACATATATATATACATACATATATATATACATACATATATATATACATACATATATATATACATACATATATATATACATACATATATATATACATACATATATATATACATACATATATATATACATACATATATATATACATACATATATATATACATACATATATATATACATACATATATATATACATACATATATATATACATACATATATATATACATACATATATATATACATACATATATATATACATACATATATATATACATACATATATATATACATACATATATATATACATACATATATATATACATACATATATATATACATACATATATATATACATACATATATATATACATACATATATATATACATACATATATATATACATACATATATATATACATACATATATATATACATACATATATATATACATACATATATATATACATACATATATATATACATACATATATATATACATACATATATATATACATACATATATATATACATACATATATATATACATACATATATATATACATACATATATATATACATACATATATATATACATACATATATATATACATACATATATATATACATACATATATATATACATACATATATATATACATACATATATATATACATACATATATATATACATACATATATATATACATACATATAAAGAGCATCTGGCTTCCAACTCTTCAACCTTTCCTTTAACCTATCCTAAGATTTCTGCCTCTCCGTACCAGCGATAAAGAGGACCATCCCAGCTTCCTCTAACATCAAGATCTGGTGGATGCTGCTGATGCCTTCTATGCGTGCACGAGACCGCAGCTTCCCCGACTGGTCCAACTCAAAGGAGTAAAGGCCTTCTGTTGCTCCAACCAGTGCAGTCTGTCAAGGGAAAAGGATTTAGCATAAAGGCAAACCATGTCATAGTAGACTTGGGTACAATCATCATACCATTATTTATTTCTATCTTTGTAATTATCATTAACATTCATTAAACAAAATGAACAAGGACCATCATTTTTAAATGAATAAATCAATAAATAAAAATAACCTACAGTTTTATTCAGGTAAACGATAATGTTGATATCCAGAGGACTAGGGCCATCTAGTGATAACAATGTGTTCTCCTGGATGCATGCTGTCAAACTGTTGTCCTCCACCTCACCCTTGTTCATCTGAAAACCAGGAGAAATATGTGATTAAACAATACTTTACGAATAATTGCAAACACGACAAAGTATATTTACTTTAATTTATGATATTTTTGCTGCATCAAACACAATGAGTATCTACACAGCCCAAAATTATGCAATAATAAGTAAATACTTGCATTTATTTACCTAACCACGGCTATCTTTATGGTTTCCCATTTTCTGCTTATATCTGCCTAGTGAAATATTTTCAATGATGTTCCATAGACCGACCTTATCCATACAAATTATAATATCATTCTACAATTACTGCCGAACTAGTCACTCTACATCAACTCAACTTCATCAACCAAAATATAGTACTAATTTCTACCAGTAACACTACTCTGGCAGAAAAATTGAAGAAATACAGTCATGTAAATTCAATCATTACACCAGCTCGTCTACAGTACTATTTAACAGGTGAATGATAACAGTGTCATACCCTTTCATCTGGGCTAAAGATATAAGCACAGGTTGTACTGTCGTTAAACTGAAAATAAAAGTATTAGTACACACTTGTCATTTTGTTTTCATTTTTTTTTTATGGCTGTGACAAGCAACACATTACATTAGACCGCTGCATTATAAAAAAAATAAGAACATATAAACAGATAATGACCATGAAACTTTTGAAAAGGAAAAAGAAATCACCTAGTCCTTGCTGTCTATATTGCTGCATTCCTTATCTATATTCTGTAGCACCTGCATTCAATTTTAAGTTTTAAAATGAATCTGCAAACAAAAAGTGCATTTGCATAATTCAACTTACTTGTGCCAAAACCCCTTCTAAGGCAGATACCCATGACTGCTTTTCTTCAAAATTAGTAGTCATGAAATACAGAGTATCAGAGTGTCCAGAGGCAGTCTTTGCACGAATTTCAATCTGAAAAGTTGAAATAGAGGACTTGATGAAAATCTCCCAACACTATGTATATGTACAAGAGCTATTTCTCATGATACAAGAAAGCTCAAAATTAAAATAGAATGAACAAGTCTAGTAAAGTGAAATGTCCATTAACTACTACTATAAAACTTATTTCACTGGATAACCTTCAAGTATCTTGTTTATCAAACTCATCATACAAATGTGGTATTAACACCACTGACTCAAATATTCACAGCAAATGCACACCCACAATTGAAAACCAACCTTAAGGACATAGGGGAGATCCACACTGCTAGTATTGGGTAGCTCAGACCTCGGAACAGCAGACATAACAGTGGTAATACAGCCAGGGCGTGACAGGCTAATTTTAGAGCGAGGTTGCATGCCAGCACTGGGCTCATGGTCATACATCAGGATCTCCTCTTGCTCCAGGCTAACATAACGGCTCTCCCAGCAGGCTTTGCCAGACCTACAAGGAAGTTATTGAAATTAAAGCAAGGCAATATACAATATAAATACTCAGATCACATTACAGTATAAAACCAATGTAAGTGATTAGCATTACTTTAAAGAAATTTGTGGTCCACCCTGACAATACTATTCTTCTTGCACATAATTCCAAGATCTAATTCTTTCACAAACCAGTGGAAATCACTTTACAACTCGTACAAAATATGTACAAACACCATATTGATATTCAGAGTGAAATCAAAATAAAAAGAGAAACAATTAAACACAGAGTTAACTCCTTCTAAATGGGCACTCACTTTGGCATCTTCAACCATCCCTGAATCACACACTTCTGAGAGGAATGAGATCCTTGGGACTTCACTGGAGAATCAGAACTCCAACCTCTTGCATAATGTTCTGCAAATTGGACAGGCAGGCCACACGTCGATGGCAATTCCATACAACACTGCAATAAGAGAAATGAATCTATGTAAACCATATATTTATCAGACTAATCCTTAGGGTACACGACATGATGAGACACTGCTCAGTCAGGCACAAAATCACATAAAACTTTGTGATTCATGAGCATCCTTTTTTGCCAACATTATAGACTAAATTACACATTCCATGAACATAAAAAATATGCATATGGAATCCATCTTCAAACTGAAATTCTATAGAAATACAGATCTCCCCCTAGAAAAATCACGACTAATAAGAGAGTAAAAAAATATTTTTGGATATCAACATCCCTTTCTTCATTAACTGATTTTCATGATAAAATCCTATCTGGGCTTTAAGGGACAAAAATATATATATACATTTCAAATTACACTCTAAAATCTCTTCTTCTCACCTTGTTGTGTGCAATAATTCCACACTCTTGACACTTGGAGGCATTTCTTGCAAAGGGAATGCTATCCAGGCAACCTGCACACCGGATTGCTCTCATCTGAAGGCCAGACTGCCACCTGCAACATTATAATGTTTGAAATAACAGCCACTATATAGTCTAAATAACTGGTAAAATTACCATAAGGCAATACAAAAAAAAAAAAAAAAAGACCACAAATCAGTCCTTGAAAATATATATAAAATATACTTCTTGCTGGAAAATCTTTACAAAATAAATATCGATATCAAACAACAGTCTTTACTACTAATATAAAAAACATGTATATATGCACACACTTTCACTCAGAACTCACACTTCTGGATCTAGCTATCTCAGACACAACCCTCAAGCCACACCAACCTATGGGGGATGTTGTGCCGCATCCTTTGCTTGGAGCTGCTCTCCTGCACGTTGGGGGAGTCCACTATGTGTTCTAAGGCCCTCTTGTTTTGGGGAGTCTTCGTCTGGAGGGGGGTGCGTGACACCATGGGAGTTCTTGGGGGTCGAGGAGTGCCCATGACACTCTTGTTGTCCAGGGTGCCACCTGCAATTGGCCAAAAGGATGACGTAATGATTATAAATTACATCTGTTCAACAAAATCCTATAAACAATAATAACAACGGTTCCAAACTAAGATAAAATATATTACATACACAAATGACAACTAAGTCAACCTTCTTATATCACAAGACCACCTAATTAAACTTAACAGATGAGATATTCCTAAAAAGAGTCTCAAGTCACTGACCATTAGCCCTCAATGCAACAATCTCAGCCCTGGCCTTGATCAGCTGCTCTTGGATCTGTTTGCCATTCATTCGCTCTCGTGCCAACAGGTCCTCCAGTTCTCTGTATTGGTGTGGCATGCTGAAGCCAGTGTTCTCTTTGTCCTTCCCTCCAAACAACTTTTCCTTGAAGTTCTGTAAAAGGCAAGACCTAGAGTAACAATCTGGCAGCTCAAGGCAATTTTTGTGAAGAATCTGAACCACACAAGGTATATATCCTTGTTGAATTGCATTTAAGAAAGGCGCTTATCAACTAACCTTCTTCTTCTTAGAATTGTCAGTCTTAGCTTGCAAGAAGTCAATCAGCTTGGTCTGTTGCTCAATGGTGCTCTTCATCTTGATCTTCTCATCCTCAAACATCAGTTGCTGGTCTGCTAGCATGCGCTCTACTTCCTCAATCCTGGAAGCAATGGGATGGGTCTCAGCAATTGCATTAATAAGCAGTTTTACATCTATATTCTTCTACAGTGAAGGACCAAATCCAATAAAAAAAAAAAATGTTCTCATATTTTAATAATCATTTAACCATTTTTATTCTTCCTTATTATTACCACTTATCTCTGAAAATAAAAATAAATCACAAACAAAACTTTCCCAAGAACCTACTTCTGCTTGAATGCCTCTCCCTTGGACACTGCGGTTTCCAGCGCTTCTGTCAGCTTGAAGTTGGAATCCTTGAGGGTGTGGATGTGGTGAATGTGACCATCAATCTCCTGCTGCATCAAGTCACGCTGGCCTTGGAGAGATGTGAACTCGCGCTCCATGTTGCGAACCAGGAGAGTCGCCTCTTTCAGTTCCTTCTCCAGACTCTCAATCTTTAAATGTCAAATCAATATAAATGGATTTTCCTTTTGTTTTTATCTAAATCTTATATTAAAGTTCTTCCTGGTTTGCATATAATTTAAATACATGGTCTGTGACATATTAGCTACTATAATTTAGTGTCAACTGATATAATTCAGTGTATGAAAGTATTAATAACAAAGTACTGCAGCATACATATTAGCTTAGCAATTCACAGCACATACCTAAGGCCTGTGCTTGCTTGTGCAGATGGTAATAAACATATTTATCTAGTATTGAGTAGGAGGCACTCTGTACTAGATAAAGAATAAGACAAAATTAAATATTACCTTCACCCACAACAGAAAAGAAAGAAAGAAATAAGAAAAAAGAAAGAAAAGAAAAGAAACACACAAACACAGTTCATACCTGTTCATGCAATTCCAAGCTGGACTTGTTGGACTCTTGCAGTTGCTCATTGAGTCGTGCCACCTGCTGGTCACTCTCCTCATCTCGACAATTCAGCTGACTCTCCAGGTCCTTCACCTTCCTCTCCTGGAACAACTTCAAGGACTTTTCCTCATTGACAGCTGACCGTGCCGTCCTCAGGTCAGCTTGGAGTTTCTCAATGTCCTTCTGGAGTTTGTCCCTGTTTGATGATAAGGCGTCAGATTATCTTGTGATTATGAGGAAACTTACACCTAATGTCAAGAGACCAGACTTCAAGAGAAGTAGCTATGCAAGATAATAGTTATACTTAAAATGGACAAATCCTTTGCTTATTACTATTTCATATAAATGTAAAGTATCACGTGTATTTCCATCATTTAAAAAACAGTGACCTAGTACTACTATATATCATTTCCTTCACAAAAGCATCCTTACTTCTCCTCCTGGTGAGTTTTGATTTGTTCAGAGAGGTTCTCCATCACTGTCAATTCTTCATCTTGCATGGAGCACAGTTCCTTCAGCTGAGCTATTGTCTGCAACAAACAAATCAATAGACATGACCACAAGTGTAGAAACTTTCTAGACAATAATAGTTCTAACCATTGTAAGATATAATGCTGTAAACCAGGCATTTCCTACATAGCATCAAACCATCCCATTTTCTTTACTTAAATCAAATGATCACAAATATTTTCGCCCTTACTAACTTTAGACACTCTTCCAAAACACCTCATAAAATATCAAGATTACAACTACACTCATTCCACTCTCACTCTCCACTACTCACTGCTTCTGAGTCTTGGAGTTTCTTCCTCAAATCATCAGCTTCACTTCTCATGTTCTGCTTCTCGTGTTTGATTTCCTCTCGTGCAGATTCAACCATCTTGATCTGAGTTTCCAGTCCTCGTTTTTCAAGCTGAAAGTATGTATTGTATATATTCTCTATATCTGCTGCTAGTACTAGAACTGTCGAAAGGGTTAATTTGCACAGGGGAAAAAAATTATAATGATTTTAAAAATGGAAGAGACATGCAGATACATGAAAAGGAAAAGAGAAGACAGAAGAAAAACAAAATAAATGACCAAATTAAAAGTAAAAGTGCAGTAAAGCGCGCATGCACGCACGCACGCACGCACGCACACGCACACGCACACGCACACGCACACGCACACGCACACTCACACGCACACGCACACGCACACGCACACGCACACGCACACGCACACGCACACGCACACGCACACGCACACGCACACGCACACGCACACGCACACGCACACGCACACGCACACGCACACGCACACGCACACGCACACGCACACGCACACGCACACGCACACGCACACGCACACGCACACGCACACGCACACGCACACGCACACGCACACGCACACGCACACGCACACGCACACGCACACGCACACGCACACGCACACGCACACGCACACGCACACGCACACGCACACGCACACGCACACGCACACGCACACGCACACGCACACGCACACGCACACGCACACGCACACGCACACGCACACGCACACGCACACGCACACGCACACGCACACGCACACGCACACGCACACGCACACGCACACGCACACGCACACGCACACGCACACGCACACGCACACGCACACGCACACGCACACGCACACGCACACGCACACGCACACGCACACGCACACGCACACGCACACGCACACGCACACGCACACGCACACGCACACGCACACGCACACGCACACGCACACGCACACGCACACGCACACGCACACGCACACGCACACGCACACGCACACGCACACGCACACGCACACGCACACGCACACGCACACGCACACGCACACGCACACGCACACGCACACGCACACGCACACGCACACGCACACGCACACGCACACGCACACGCACACGCACACGCACACGCACACGCACACGCACACGCACACGCACACGCACACGCACACGCACACGCACACGCACACGCACACGCACACGCACACGCACACGCACACGCACACGCACACGCACACGCACACGCACACGCACACGCACACGCACACGCACACGCACACGCACACGCACACGCACACGCACACGCACACGCACACGCACACGCACACGCACACGCACACGCACACGCACACGCACACGCACACGCACACGCACACGCACACGCACACGCACACGCACACGCACACGCACACGCACACGCACACGCACACGCACACGCACACGCACACGCACACGCACACGCACACGCACACGCACACGCACACGCACACGCACACGCACACGCACACGCACACGCACACGCACACGCACACGCACACGCACACGCACACGCACACGCACACGCACACGCACACGCACACGCACACGCACACGCACACGCACACGCACACGCACACGCACACGCACACGCACACGCACACGCACACGCACACGCACACGCACACGCACACGCACACGCACACGCACACGCACACGCACACGCACACGCACACGCACACGCACACGCACACGCACACGCACACGCACACGCACACGCACACGCACACGCACACGCACACGCACACGCACACGCACACGCACACGCACACGCACACGCACACGCACACGCACACGCACACGCACACGCACACGCACACGCACACGCACACGCACACGCACACGCACACGCACACGCACACGCACACGCACACGCACACGCACACGCACACGCACACGCACACGCACACGCACACGCACACGCACACGCACACGCACACGCACACGCACACGCACACGCACACGCACACGCACACGCACACGCACACGCACACGCACACGCACACGCACACGCACACGCACACGCACACGCACACGCACACGCACACGCACACATTGTTTGAAATATTTTTAAGTCCATAATTTTCACTCACGTAACCAAGATATAAGAACGAAATACCTAAATATAAACTCTACTACCAGTCATGCAGATATTCATATGATTGATTACCTTGTGAGCTGCCCTCTCTTTCTCAAACTGAGCCTCTTGCTTCTGGATCTCCTCATCCTGCTTCTCCATGCTCTTTCGCAGTTCTTCCTCCAGTTCTTTGACCTTCTGTACAGCAGTCTGTATGGGATTTAAAGGACCATCGAGTCAGTAGTTGTCAAGAATAACATATAGGCTTTGTGTGTGATGGGAAATCAGTAAAGATTTCATTGTGAGATTCAAAAGCCTCTTAAAAATGTACACTACCAAGAGTAAATAATAAAAAAATGTAAATGAAAAGATATACAATACTAAAATAATAACTAATAATACTAAAGTTATAGACAACAAATAATGACATAGTTCAAAACCCAATGACATGTCTTTATCATGGTATTAAAGCCATCAACTTAAAGTATTAAATGATGTTAGTTCTCTCATTATATATAATATCCAACCTCTTTCTCCTCAAGCTGCGTTCGCTGTTCTCGGCTTCTTTCCCTCAAATACGAGATAGTGTCTTGGGATGACTTGGCGTCTCTCTGGGCTACACGCAAGTCCAATTTGCAGTCTGACAGCTCTGCCTTAGCCTTAAGGAATGCAAAACACTTGTAAAGTGATCAAGTATTTCAACGCTTCAGCAACTCAGAGGTAATATTAATGACTAATGCCTTATACCAAAAAGACACAATAGAAATCCAAAAGCTGCATTAATCCAATTATACAAAAAAAATAAGGATCAAGTATTTAATTCAGTAGTTCTTGAAAAATAATATAAAAGCCAGTCAAACTCAATTCATAAGGTTAATATTCACTTTGGAGACAGACCACCACAGGACAGCACCATCCCTTACCACTCTTAGGTCTTCAGATAACTTCTTGGCCTTCTCCTTGTCCTGCTCGCAAGCAGCCTTGGCCGACTCCAGCTGAGCCTCAAGGAGCTGCAGTTTAGCCTGGAATGTCTCTGCACATGCTTCTGTGGAGGACTTTTTATTTTCCAGGCTGCGTACAGTATCGTCGAGCTTGGAGAGCAGCAATTCAAGTTCTGATATCTTGCTCTTATGCTCTCCTGTGAAGAATATTACCAGTCAGTACGTTAAAGAGATATATATGCAAAAGAACTGTGCATATACAGTCTTTACTTTTCCCCTTTTTCTTTAAAACAAGTAAATTAGTGTTTTGCTTCAAAGAACCAAAATTTTGTAGAATGTACTAGATCACCAATCAAAGAAGAAGTGAATCAAACAAAAACAAAAAATCTCCATACACACCTTCCCTTGCCCTTACAACTGCAAGCTGGTTTTGGAGGTCTAATTTGCCTGAAGTTGCTAGTTTCAACTCTTGTTCCAATTCCTTAATCTTCGCCTCCTGCTCCTCTTCCCTCAGACTGCGAGTAGAATCCAGGCTCTCGTAACTAGCACGTGACTCATTCAAACGGCCTGTTAATTCCTGCATGTCAGAAAGCAAGGGAACTAATTAGTAAAGACTGCAAAAAGCCATTGCCAATCTTATGTCATCAAAACCACTATCCTTGTTAGCCATATATGTAAATGATACAAAATCTCTCTCAATCTTTTCACCAATACTGAGTAAGTGTATTTCCATATGAAACATAAAACAAGCACTTTAATGTCAAAAAGAAAGAATGATATACTTAGATAATCCTCTAATAAAATCAATTTACCTGCAACTGGTTCCGCAGAATTGAACATTCCTTCTTTTCTTGGGAAAGTTGGCCTTCCAGTTCTTCAATTCGCTGCTTCTTTGCAGCATGATTCTGAGTGGAAAATGAACTTATAATTTGCAGAAGATAAAGAGAAAATATTAATTTGTATTAAGTTTTGATAAGGGAAAATAAATTATGACAATATGAATACAAAAAAATATAACTGATTTGAGCAATGGCACAAATCAGAATGTAAGTCATAAGTTTGTATCAGTAGTTAAAAGTTAATTATGGCTTGCTATATACTGCCTGATGATATATTCTTGATTCAAGTTATCACTGAACTTTAGTGGCATCAAAAAGTACTGGCAAGTCCTGAATACATTAGTCTAAATATCTAAATGCAATGATACTGGGTATATAACCCAAACAACTATTTGGAAAGTAAATTACCCTAATACACCAAAATCTGAGAAACTCGATACATTTTCAAAGATTAAATTTACAAAAGCTACATTACCAATTAAAAGTATCGTAATGAACGAGTAACCAAAATAATTCCACAACAACTAAAGCATCCAAAATACAAACAAAATGTAAAATCACTCCCTGATTGTAAGGCCTCACCTGCTGTTCGAAGTGCTTCATCTTGTCCTCCGCTGCCTCCAAGGCCCTCTCAGTCTCGGCTAGCTTCTGGCTGAGTTCCTCCATCTGGTTCTCCATCAGCTTGCTTTCATCCTCCACGTGAGCCTTCTGGTGGAGCTCCTTCTCCAGTTCGTTCCTCAGCGATGCTGCTTCCTCCAGTTTTGTGGTGATCTTCTCTCTTTTTTCCTTCTCCTTCTCCAGCTTTTGGATGAGTTCCTCAAGTTTCTGCTTTGCCTCTTGAGCTGGAGAACAATCTCCATGGCACACCATCTCGGCCTTCTCCTTTTGGAAGGAGATTTCCATCTTCTCCTGCCATTCACAAGAAGAACAAGTTATATTTTTTAATGAAGAATAAACTATACAATGCAAATGGTGAATATGGTCATAAAACAGGATATATGTTATTATACAGAAACCAAATTAGAAAACAAAAACCTAACATCAATCTAATTTGATAATTACATCAAAAACTCATGTCTTTCCTGTAAATGAAAAAAAAACTAGTGGCAAAAAACATCTTTAAATTACATTTTGTATACAAAAGTATGCTATATAGTTTAAGAGTGCTATATGTAAAATATTTTTCAAATGTGTTTATAATCTTTATTAATGAAAAAATGTTAAGGGAAACCTGAAAATTCATCAACTTGCAAAGGGAAAACTAGGACTGAAAACTGTGTAAGATCATGCACCAGTAACCATGCACTGTACCTTTGCATGGAGTTGCTTCTTCAGCCTCTGAGTCTCAGTTGCAAATGCTTTGAACTCCTTCTCCCTCTCAGCCAGTGCATTCACTACTTCCTTGTGTTGTGACTGCTGGAATGCAATTTCTTCCTCATATGCCTGAAAGAGGGAGTTGCCCATTACACACATTAATCCGATATTCAGATACAAACTACCAAAATCACAAACAAACTTACAGATTTAACAGATCAATCAGTTCTATTATCAATACATATAAATACAGAAAATAAGACAGAAAAAAGACAAAAAAAGAAACTTGAATCTTTGTATATACATATAAACTTACAGCAATTTTGCTAGATAAAGCCTCTATCTTCTTGGCTTCCTCCTGCTTCCACTTGTTCTTCATTCCTCTGACGAGTTCAATGGTCTGTGTCTCAGTCTGTACTCGGTTAGATCTCTCTAAAGCAAGGTCTCTTTTATACGTCTGCCAGGGATAGGGAAAAAGTCTCAATTATTTTTTAAAAGCAAAGAATAAAAATTCACATTGCACGAGATGGGAAAGTAATGCAAAGGGATAAGAAATGGATATGTTTGTATAATCATAAATATAAATTTGAGCAATTAAATGCAATCATAAAAAAAGGAAAAAAAAAAAAAAAACTTACAGCTGCAGCTCTCTCATTGCGAACATTATCCTCCTCCAAGCGCTGCCGCTCCTTCTCCAAATATTCAATCTTGCACTCAGCCTCCTTCAGTTTCCTGTCTCTCGCTTGGACCTCCCTTCCATGTTCCTTGTCCTTCAGTTGCTCAAGCTTTAACAGTAAAATAAGAAATTCACTTAATTCTCTCCTTTATCTAAGGACCTTGGGACAAGTATCAGTATAACACAAGACAAGATACCTCCAGTATTATCAGTAACACTATTCTACTTGCAAATCTAAGTGAAGAATATATAAGTATGCACACATTAATAACTACAGAAACTTACCTCCAGTTTAAGTTCATGGTTTTCCTTTTTCAGGGACTTTACTTGTTCATCACGCTGAGAGGAGTCCCTGAAGGTTTCATCAAGGAAGGAGACATTGACAATTGATGAACCAATGGAATTTGTTCTAATGCCAGGAGTAGGATTGGGCCTGGAAATCAAGGAACAAATGTGAAAGCTGCAGTGCACAATCCCATTTATTTTTTTGTTCTTTAAAAAAATATAGTCACCTTTTAACATTATTCTAGCATGACAGACATTCTGGTCCAAAGTAACATTCAAGTGGATTCCATAGCTCATGTCTCCGAGAAACTCTATTCTTTATGGTATTTCTTTCTGACATCCCTCTGGCCTTATCTGAACCTCCTTAACCCAATAATGCCAGGGAATGACACTGTCTGCTGTTGCTTTCTTTTCCAAATTTTGTTTGCAGAAGTGATCAGCCACTAAGGAGCCAATAATTAAATGCATATCTTCAGCTGATTTCCCTTTTCCTTAAGTTTTTGGGAAAAATATTTTTTTTCTAATGCTATTTATCAACATTTTTTTTATTGCTGTTGTTAACATTATGATTACTATAATGCTATTAATAATACTAATAGCAAATATCAATTTTTAACATATACAAATATATAAATAAAATATAAGTTTAGTATGAGAGAGTTCAGTTTTTAAAAGTAACTTATTTGTTTCTGAAATTAGTTATGATGTCTGGATGAAAGTGTATTAGTCTATTATGTATTTTCACAGAGGAGGTATAATATCTCTAACTATATTTCAAAGTTTACTGTTTATATCACCAGATCTTAATAACTAAAATACTAAAATAAAAAAGCCATAAAAAACAATCAGGTCCAATAAAACTGAAATTGTATACAAGACAGATACCAAGCAACATCCTTAACAAGTCAAATGCAAATCACACATTCAAGAAGTCACAGTCCCTCTTACCCTTCTGCATTGGTCTTGCCCCTATTGTAAGTGAAACCCACAAAGGGCAAGTTCCGGCCCGAGAAGCCCTGTCGGGTACGGAAAGCATCAACACTGGGCAGCCTCCTCTCGTTCTCAAATTCCTCAAAGTTGCTTGTGTCGTCTACACTGTTCACAATGGGGACGAATGGTGGGGCACCTGAAACATATTTTTTTTTTTTTTTCTTTTTTCTTACCTTCATGAAATTTATCTTGTATCATATTATTATCCTCTTTAGTTTTCTATCTCTTTTGTCATATTTCCATTGGTTGGATGAGATATGAATGCATGACTTAAGTTCTCAAAATCTTTTAAGATAGAAAGTCTTCATCTCTGTGGTACTAAGTATACAAGAGGAAAGAAAAAGGGAGATTTAATAAACAGGCAAAGCAAATATAGCAAGAGGAAAATTATTCAATTTAAATATCAACCACAAACAGATACATACAGTTTTGCAGATCATTCCAGTTCACCAAAAGGAAAAACTTGTGCTGAACGATTGCCGAGTGATTCAGGCGATGGCTGGCCTCTTCAAGCAAGCCACGTATAAGGTCCTTCGCAGCCTCACTGACTACATTTTCTTCATCATCAAATTTGAGTTTTTTCTGAGAGGTGAAAAGTCTGTTAAATAGCTGATTACATCAAGAAAGGGATACAAGAGTAAAATCATACATATTTAACTTTATGTGCAGGATTCATGCTAAACAAATTGTAAATAAAACTAAGGGAAAAACATGAAAATATGAATATGCCGAAGGCCTTTTCACAGTATTGCTTCTGCAAGGAATCACAATCACTGAAACAGACATTAGGGAGGAAGAGACAGGTAGGGGGAAGAATACTGAGTTTACATTGTAAACAGTATTTCTCGATCTGATTCCTGTTACTCTGAACTTACTCTCATTCTGCAAAACAAGAATTTCTACTCCCTTCAACAAGAAAAAAGGTAGGGAACTCTCATTTACCTTATGGTTCATGATGTTACTGTAGGTATCGACTACTTTCTCCCCTTTGAACGGTGTATCACCAAAGCACATTTCATAAGCCATTATTCCAAGGGACCACAAGTCACATTCCACCTGTCATGAGAAAAAGATAATAACATGAGTGAGTCATAACTCTATATATTTCTGACAAAATAAATAGCAGTGAAAGTAAAACACTATGAAAATGGATAGCCAAAAGTTCGCTTTAAATAATTCACAAGAATAAAACGTTCTCAGTGTGTAAAGCAACAGAAAAAATATCCCATTAGAGAATCATTGGCATTACCCCGTAAGAGACACTGGAAGCTTTCTCGTTAAGCGACTGCAGGACTTCTGGAGCTATGTAGTCGGGAGTTCCAACGGGCATTTTACTTCTGACAACACCTGACGATGTGAGTTTTGCCGCAGAGCCAAAGTCAGCTAACTTGACATGACCACATCTGTCTATCAGTATGTTGTCAGGCTTTATATCTCTGCAAGGTAGATGATATATTAGAAATCTCTGCAAAAGTTAAAATGCAATTACAAATATGAAAATCTACAATAGTACAAATGCCTTCACCAAAACATACCTATGCACATAACCCATGGAGTGTAAGTCATGTATAGCCAGGGTGATTTCTGCCAAATAAAAGCGCGCCATGTCCTCCGAGAACGTGCCATCGTACCGATCCAGCAAAGACAGCAAATCTCCACCAGGATGGAATTCCATCACCAAGTAAAGCTGCTGGTCATCCTGCATTCAAAAGGATGAACGGACAGTGAACAAAACTGGGAGATCAATTTACATGTGATTATATCAG